AAACCATTCCCAAGGCCAACTCTTCAGACAAAGAATAGACTGGACTGTGGGACATAAAATGATAGTCATGAAGAGTGTGCTCCTTAGCTCAAGGAGACACATGAGACTAAATGGGCAGCTTCTGCCGGAGGTGAGATGAGAAGGCAGAGAGGGTCAGGAACTGGTTGAATGGACACGGGAAATTAGGGGTGGAAAGGAGGAGTTGCTGTCACAGTATAGGAAGAGCAATTAGGGTCACATAACAATGTATGTATAAATTTTTGTATGAGAGACTAACTTGAATTGTAAACTTTCACTTAAACTACAACAATAAAATAAAAAAATTTTAAAAATGCTGTCAGAATGTTTCTGTCTCCATTCCGCCTCATCTTCATGGTCTCTGTTTCTTGAAGACTCCTCCCCCTGTTCAGCATGTCCACAGGGATACCTCAAATGTTGCACTGGTCCCCTTGACCACCTTAACACACTGCTCAGGCCCCACATCAGGAAAGTGACCTGCACACGCCCATCTCCACCCCCCCACCTTCTTGTGCTACCCTCCATTAGAGTCTTTCAAGCAACACTTTAGAGTGTTTCACAGCGATAATAGCTTACTTGGCTTCTACCCACTCATCCACGGCAGCCCCCTCACCCTAGACCTCAGGTACTGTTCCATGACAAGCCCCCTGCCGGGCCCAGATACCACCCTCTTCCTCCCCCAACCCGACCACTGCATGGTCTTCTTCTCTCTTCCCACAGGCAATTTGCACCACCTCTCCCAGAAAGATCCTTGGTTCTCTCATGCAAATAGACTTAGGACTGGTCCTCCCCACCAGACCACAGGAAATGTCTAGATGCTGGAATCATGGGGTGAGCACTACTCGGTTTTATTCATAAGCTGAGTTCTATTTCCCATGGATACTTACTTTATCATCTGTTCTAGAAAGCAAACATGGTGCCTGGTTCACCTCTCTTCCCTCATAGTCCCTGTACATGGCGATCTGCACAGAATAGATGCTAAATGTATCAATATTAGGATAACGAGACAGGGTACTATATGAGAAAAGACATCACACTGAGAGCCCAGAAATAAACAAACCAGCACAAACTCTGCCGTTAGTTTTCTATGGCACCTCAGACCTGTAACTATCTCTTTCTTGGCCTCAGTCTCCCCATCAGTGAAACGGGTAGATGATCTCAAAGGTCTCATTGATTTCTGACATTCTGTAAAAGAATAAAAAATGGATTTACAGTCCTTGAAACAGAAGTGATTGCAGAGCTGGGGGCCTGGGAAAATGGGACCTGGTTTGCCTGGAGCTAATCGCTGGCTTGGAGGACAGTAGAAGGGAGAAGCTGGAGAAGAGGCCTGGAGGAGGTGTCTAGAAAAGACCTGGCAGGTGCAAAGTCTACTAGATGTCTCACTCAAAGGCACAAGCAAGAGGGGCCTTGCTACCAAACGGAGAGGAGAGAAAAGAGAACTGTAGGAGCCACCAAAGGGCAAGTAACTTGGGAGTGGGAGTGGGGAGTGGGAGTGGGGAGTGGGAGTGGGGAGTGGGAGTGGGACAGGGGAAGAAGCTGGGACCTGGCTTCTGATCTTTCTAGAAAGTTCACTTTCACTTTCTCTTTCCGTCACCTCTGACATTGAGTGGGAGTCTGTGGCGATGACAAAGATACATGTGGAAGATCCTGGTGCTGGGGTCAGCCCACTGGGTGGAAGGAAGAGAGGATTATTCACCAGGAGAAACTGTTCCATTCTTCATCTGTGAGTTGGTGGGGAAGGGGTCCCAGGGGGACTGGGGATTCTGGAGAACACCAAAACCTTGACCCTCATCTCCCATTACCCCTCCCCGGGCCCTTCCCTTATAGCCCCCAAGCAGGCCCTCAGCACAGGCCTTGTGCTGAGTGTTCCCAGCACAGCCCCACGTAAGGCTCCTGGCTCCAGGCCTAGCATTTGGAATGCAGGCTCCTGCCAAATGCGTTCTTCTCATCATGATTTGGGAACTTCCAAAACTGCCTCAGAGCGGGAATTTCCATGCATTCCTCCCACCATGTGTCTGACCTTCTAGCTAGGAGAGCAGGTCTCCTTGACAGGACAGAAGGGAAGGGAGACCATATCATCTTCTAGAGGACTTTCTCTTCTGAGACACACTCTCTCAGCTTTGATGTGTTGTCTGACACTTGCGGTGGCCAAGTCCCTTTCCAAAGATGATGCTCTCTCCCTGAAGTAGAGACATGTGTTCAAACACTCAGAAAAGCTGGGAAGCTTTTCCAAGCGACCATGGACCAGTTCATCTCCCTCTCAGCAATACAGTTTCCTCATATAAAAAGAAGAATTTGCAATACTCGATCTCAGTAGGTCCTTTGGTTCAAGGATTCCAGGATTCCGAGTGACAATAACATGATGGAACCCAAAGAGAGTAGTTTAAAGCTATTAGCACTGTTAAGCTGGAGAAAATCCAAGGAAAGACTGGAGGCCATCTTTGCGGACTGTTTCTGCCTGGACCTGAAGAGGGGAAACAAAGAACCGGCACACGAATAGATTAGAGAGGGGTTTCTACTCACATGAGGAAGAGCTTCTTGGAAGTCAGTGTGAGATGGTCTGGGAAGAAATGACTTCAAGAAGTTGCACAGTCCCCATTCCTGGAAGATTTTTATTCATTCAGTAAGAATGGATTGCACCATGGGCAAAGCAGTGAGTCCAACACAGAGGAATTTTGTATTAACAGAATAAATGAGAAAAAAGAATCATATCAATAGATAAAGAGAAAGCATTCAATAAAATTCAATGTTCATCCATAATAGAATCTCTCAGCAAACCAGAAATGAAAGGGCACTTCCTTAACATAATAAAGAATGTCTTTATTCTTATTTTGCTCTTAAATAGCAAGTCCTTGGGTGGCACAAATGGTTAAGTGCTCAACCACCAGCTAAAAGGTAGGTGGTTTGGACTCAGCCAGAGGGGCCTTGGAAGACAGGCCTGGAGGTCTGTTTCCGAAAGGTCACAGCCTTGAAAACCCTATGGAGCAGTTCTATTCTGCCCTCATGGGGTCATCACGTGTTGGCATTGACTCAACAGCAACTAATAACAATAACATTAAATAGAAAAATACCAAATTGCTAAATTCGGGCAGAATAAAATTAAGACTCTGAGAGATGCAGGCAAAGCAGTGCACGTGCTGGTTGGTTCTCTCTTCATTCTACCTTTTTGTAATTCTACCCAAGAGTCTGGAACAACCTCTCCATAGATTCTCTGCTCTTGGGTTTTCTAGAAAGCCAATATCCACCATGAAACATTAAGTCTGGTGCCTGGGAGCAGGGATTCTGGAGTCAGAGTGTCTTGGGTAGATGATCAGGCCTAGCTGCTATACCTGTGAGATTCTGCACAAGTTATTTAATGTCAGATTCAACCTCAGGAAAGTTGGGTGACACTTGATAACGTCAGCTAACACTTTCCTTGGGCATTAATGACTACTTACTATGAACTAGACACAGTCATTTGTTTAATATAAACTCTTTTCTCATTACAAATGTAATGATTGTCAAGTGTTTTCTTCCAAGAAGCTCCATGCGTTTCACAGACATTAGCTCGGTGACACTTTAAGAAAGAAAAGTCACTAGGTCCTTCCATTCCCGTTTAGGCAAGCGTAAACCAAGACTCAGTGGGATGAGGCAGTGCAAAGTGCTAGAAGGTTCACTGAGCTGAGAGTCAAGAAACCTGGATTCTAGGCTCAGCTCAGCCATTAACATGCCTCAGTGAATCAGTTATTATATTCGTAAAAGAAAAGAGTTAACTGAACTGAATTCTAAGGTCTTCTAGTTTTTATTACTATGTTTCTAAGGCAGAGCTTCGCAATGAAGCCAGGCTTTCTAATCCCCAAAATACCATTCCTGTGTTCAGTCATCCTCCTTGGGGATCAAGAAGGAAGCTGGGAGAGGAGCCGCCACAGCAGGGACCACACTTCTTGCCCACTGCTGCCTGCTGTGCTAACCACAGGCTCCAGACTCATAGTGACTTAACCCCCAGGAATGTTTATTGACTCCCCTTTAGGGGTCTGCTAGTTTGGAGGATGCTTAGGAGAGAAAGAGGACCAGGATATATGACTAGGCAGCTAGATGGGGGAGTTGTGCAAGTTTCATTCCAGAAGCATATCATAGTGGTGACCCCACAGACTCTGGTGCTAAACTGCTTGGGTTCTGTTCAACCACTTACTGGAAGACCTTGGGCAGGTTACTTAGCCCCTCTGTGCCTCAGTTGCCTCGTCTATAAAATGGGAATAAACAATGCCTAGCAGATAGGGCTAGGAGATTTACAGACTTATTATTTGTAAAGTGCTTAGAATATTCCTGGCACAGAGTAAGCACTGTAAGAGTATTACATGAAAATGTCTTTTGCTTTACTATATGATCTATATGGCTTCTTCCAAGTCTTAAGTCCGATGACTCTTAGGATTCAATTCTACAATTACAACATCCTATAGTTCTGCTTTGATTGTGTCACCATCCTTGCATTTTTAAAGAATACATGGATTTCAGATGCTGTTTGGGAGCCCATCCAAGGCCCCTTCCCAGCTTGCAGGCCCTTTGGACTGTCGCCTGAAGGCAGTCTGGGGACAAGCCCTGAGATCCTTTCATCTTCCTCCTTGTAACCTCAGTGTTTTTACTTCCTTCCTTTCTCCAGTTTCACTTCAGAGAAAGCAGAATCCCTAAGAATAACCCACTGAGCTCCCGTCTGTGGTCAGCCTGGGCATATGTACACCCCGTCCTCCCCCACTTCTTTCAGTTTCCACAGCAGATAGAAAAAATGCCCACAGCTTCCTTCTCCTTCTTCCTGGAAACCTCCCTGGGGTGCTGCACATGCTTAGGAGATTTTCCATCCCACATTCAGTGAGGATGATGCTGCCCTAGGCCACGCCCCCTCTGGCTGCTCCACCCTCTTGGCTTTCAATAAAAGACAGGCAGAGCAGCCAGAGGAACAGAGGGGCTGAGAACAAACCCAGAAGCTGCTAACTCGGAAGCTGAAGCTCACCTCCTCACCCTCCAACATGAAGGTTTTTGTGGCACTCCTCTGCCTGCTCCTCACAGCAGTTAGCTTCATCTCCCAGGTGTTTTCTCAGCCAGGTAAGGCCACCTCTCCTTCCCTTTGAAACACCTCACCCCATTCTGGGTTATCATGGGCCATCAGAGCATAATGGGTACCCAGAGACTCACTTTAACGTCTGCTTTTTCAGGATAGGAAAACTCAGAGGAGGTCAAGAAGTGAGGTTGATCACACAGCTGCTCATAGGCAAAGCCTAAATAGAATTCCAGCTGTGGACTCCAAATCTAGCTCTAGAAGCAAACCCTTGGTGCAGTTACTGCCCCGGCACCTTCCCAGAAGGGTGGAGGGGAGAGGAAGAAACCCAGGATCTGGACTGAGCTTCATTCAGTACAGCTTCCAGAGAGAGTGGCTTTGCAGAGGCAATGGGTATCAGGGAAACTCACCACCAGGTGTAGGATTACTCGGAGCCCAAAAGGGGCCGCATAGCTGGGGCCCCTGAGCTCATCTTCCCTAGCCCTGATAATCTGGATTATTAGCCCCTCCTATCAACACTCCCAAGAGTTATCTAGTTTTACTAGCCCTCCTAGTCTTTCCCTCTATTCTTTATCTACATTTTATACCCATTTTATAGCAGAGAAGACAGAATCAATGTGTCAAAATCACATTCTAGCACTGGGGTATTAGCAGAATTTTGGAATTTAATGGTTTCTACCTCTACTCTGATACCCCTGGGTGGCACAGATGGCTAAGTGCTCAACAGCTACCTGAAAAATTGGCAGTTTAAACCCACCCAGAGGTGGCTCAAAGAAAGGCCTGGCAGTCTGCTTCTGAAGGGTCACAGCCTTGCAAACCCTATGGAGCACAGTTCTATTCTGCACACATGGGGTCGCCATGAGTCAGAATTGACTCAAAAACAACTAATAACAACAATGTCTTGCCTTCCCTTTACCTCCTCTTAACTACTCTTTTCTGCTTTCAGGCCAAAAGAATCTAGCCCGTCCTAAAATGCTTTTTCTTTGTGGTTTTATTTCCAGATGCAATTAATTCCCCAGTCACCTGTTGCTACACATTCATCGGCAGGAAGATTCCCATGCAGAGGCTGGCAAACTATAGCAGAATCACCAACAGCAAGTGTCCCAAAGAAGCTGTGATGTGAGTTGGTCCAAAGTTCTTCCTCAGGGAGCAAGGGACAGTCCTCAGAAACGTAGGGTCCGAGTGCTACACCAGCTAATCCGAAGTCCAAAGATTCCCAATTAGAACCCTGAGGCTGCAAGAGGGGAAAAGTGACTCCTCATCAACGTCACTGCCCATCTAGGGTGTTTATTCAGACCACCCCAATTTCTTTAGCCTGAAGTCAGGATGGCTTCACCTGGGACACCCATTGAAGTGACTTCTCCAGGTCCCCTCCTCCTCTAGTTACCATGGCAACCCCTGGGGATAGGATGGGCTGCCCTCCTAAGCTGAAATCACCAAGGAACTTCATCTAACCCTGGCATCTCTCCTCCACAGATTCAAGACCAAACTGGCCAAGTACCTCTGTGCCGACCCCAAGCAGAAGTGGGTCCAAGATTCCATTGCATCCCTGGACAAGAAAACTCAGATGCCAAAGCCCAAAACCCAAGAATCAACAATTCACTCCACAACCCAAGAATACACAATTTACTCCACAACCCAAGAATCTACAATTCACTCTATAACTGAAGAAGATAGAGCTAGTTTATTTCCCTCTACCTTTGCCTAGATGCCCTCTGATATTATTTTATTATAATCTCTTAGAATATGAACTTTATTAATATGAAATATGATGCCTTAAGTAATTCTTATTTAAGTTATTGATATTTTAACTTAATCTTCTTTAAATTGTTTTCTCACTGTGAACCCTGATTCCATCCCCGGGATGTTGTGAGGGTCCTTGCAAGGATCATTAATGCAAAGACTTTTTGTTTTAAATTCCAAGGCATTACTAAAAATATTATTGTGGAAATGAATATTTTATATAACTATCAAACCAAATATATATTTTTGTACAAAATCTGATTTTTGATGTTTTCTTTAAGGAAATTAAAAAGCTGGGAGTGAAAGGCGGGTGATGAGGGAAGAGCACCATTTCAGAGGATGGGGCTCATGCTTTGGAGGAATGAGAATGTAATTGGCCCTTGTCTTTTCCACCAGGAGTGGGCTCATCTGAGCATGTGGGAATGCTAGGCAGGACCCAATTAGCAATTCCACCATCATGGCTGCAGTCCCCAACATCAGTTGCCCAGATCCCAATAACTTAGTTACTTGTTCAGCAATAGCCCCTCCCCTCTTTCTTTTCTCACAACCCCCAGCCCCCACCCAGAATCTCTTCCATAATCTATTGCATCTGCCTTCTAACTGATCTACCTTCCTACAGTCTCTCTCCCTCCAATTAATCGTCCAACCTGGAGTAATGCAGACACTGCAAGTATTGGGAAATCACGGGGAGACTTAATGACTATGAATCAGATTGTAGGTTAAGATTTCCTAAAGAGAATGAGATTTAAACACATCCTTGATGAATAGGTGTGAGTTTTTTCTGTATGAATTACAGAATCATTAGGAAAAATAAGAACCATGGGGAACCTAGTTTCCCACTTGTTATGGATTGAATTGTGTCCCCCAAAAATGTATATCAACTTGGCTAGGCCATGATTCCCAGTACCGAATGGTCGTCCGCTATTTTGTGATCTGATGTGATTATCCGACTTGTTGTAAATCCTAACCTCTATGATGTTAATGAGGCAGGATTAGAAGCAGTTATGTTAATGAGGCAGGACTCAATCTACAGGATTAGGTTGTATCTTTTTTTTTTTTTATTGTGCTTTAGGTGAAAGTTTACAGAGAAAATTAGTTTCTCATTAAACAATTAATACACACGTTGTTTTGTGACATTGGTTGCCAACCCTGTAACAAGTCAACACTCCCCTTCCCGACCTTGGTCTTCCCATTTCCATTCGTCCAGCTTTCCTGTCCCCTCTTGCCTTCTCGTCCTTACCCCTGGGCTGGTGTGCCCATTTAATCTCATATACATAGTTGAACTACATGTATTATTGTTTGTTTGATAGGCTTGTCTAATCTTTGGCTGAAAGTTGAACATCAGGAGTGACTTCAGTACTGAGTTAAAAGGATGTTGAGGGCCTATACTCGAGGTTTCTCCAGTCTCAGACCAGTAAGTCTGGTCTTTTTTGCGTGAGTTTGAATTTTGCCCTACACTTTTCTCTAGCTCTGTCTGGGACCCTCTATTGTGGTCCCTGTCAGAGGAGTCAGTTGTGGTAGCCAGGCACCATCTAGTTATGCTGGACTCAGTCTGGTGGAGGCTGTG